AGTACTAGTCCAGAAATTAGAAAAAGAAGCAAGTTAAAAGGCACAGTGCACCACTGGATCATGGAGGACTTGAAAGACAGAACGCAAAATTATTCTCGTCACATTTTGCTGATGATATCAACCTGATAAGAAGACTTGAAACAAATGAGGACAAGGATAAATTCCATGAGACCTCCACAGGCTGCAGATGTGATCCAGAAGGCGGATTCTATGCTTCAATCTAAACAAATACAAGGTCATGCTAATTGGAGAAGAAGGCAGACTGGACACTGAGTACAACTTGGGTAGAGACAAGCTGCAAATGTCAGAAAATGAAAAGAACCTTGGGATAAACATAACACCAAGCACATGGCCAGAAATACACACATACACTGATAACACCAGCAACATATGCAAAATTAGCTAACCTCAGAGCAGAATTCAGGAAACTGAATAAAGAATCATTCAGAACCCGACATGCATGTTAGGATAATCAATGAGAACTTGCGTGGTGCCAATGTGGAGTCTCCACCTGGTCAAGCACGTGCAGACACACTTGCAACCAGCACTGAGAGGAATGCATTATGAAGAGACGTTGAAGGAACTAAACCTGACAAAACTGACAAAGAGGAGCACTAGGGAAGAGCTGATGATAGGGCAGACAGGTATAGATTTGTCTGAATTAACAAGACCAGGATGAAGAGAAAACAGGAGACATGAAGACACATCCTTAAGAGGCACGTAAGTTCCTCCATCTTCTAATAACATGTTCATTTTTAGACTATAATCTACCTTGTCCATAATTACTATCGCATTTGCTTTGTCTGTTTCGTAAAGTGAAGTCCAGAATCTTTCCTTCATTCATGGTATAACTTAAATCTTTGAGGACAACTGTTGTTGTAGAGGTCTGAGCTGTGATCAGACCTCTGCAACACAAGTTATACCATGAATTAAGGAAAGATCCCAGACTTCACCTTACGAAACAAAGGAAATGCGATAGCAACTATAGACAAGGTAGATTATAGGGGAAAAATGAACATCTTATTAGAAGACGGTGGAACTTATGTGACTCTTAATCCTCTCAAGTGAGGTGCTTTTATGCCGCTGACGAACTCTTGATCCAAGGAAGTGAATTTATTTTCGCCCTGGATCGAACCTGAATGTTTTCCATTCCTCATGCACTACATAACCCCTAAGGCTTTAGCGTACCTCTGATTACAATAAAAAAACACTCAGACAAAAGGAAGTAAAGAAGTATTTGTTTAGTCTGTGTAGCTGAACTGTTGAATGATTTAGATGAAGCAGAGGCAGAGACAAACTCAATGCAGAGCTTCAAGATAGGATGTGATAAGGCTCTGGAGGCCAGAAGTTAGTGATGCTGATCAAAGTACTGCAAAAGGCGGGACCAGGAGCTCAATAACATCCCCAGCAAACATAACTCAACGAGTACATATTATTGACGAGTACGTATTATAGGTAAACTGATCAATAAAACACATGTGCGACACCCAAGTGCTGCACATGTGTCTTATTTATCAATGAGTAAAAGTGAGTACACAAAACACACACACACACACACACACACACACACACACACACACACACACAGTTGCGCAGCTCAGCTTTGGTATGGGTTCACTTCACTAACCATCGACATTGAGCACTGAACAGTCGCTGCCCCATGACTGGTAATGAACACGTGTACACGTGTGAGCGAGCGCATGTGTACGCATGTGTACAGACATCCACCGGATGTGATATCACAAACAGCTAAAGCTGGAAGATACAGTTTAAAAGCACGAGTCACAAGTACGAGTCACAAGTACGAGTCACAAGTACGAGTCACAAGTATAGTCTTGACACACAGCAACCACTTGTGCTGTAATACTAGTAACAATCACCACAACAGTTGGGCTGCCACACTTGTATCACCACCACACAACACTGGTGCTGTCACATTGTAACCATCACCACCACGCAACACTGGTGCTGCCACACTTGTAACAATCACACAACACTGGTGCTGTCACATTGTAACCATCACCACCACACAACACTGGTGCTGCCACACTTGTAACAATCACACAACACTGGTGCTGTCACACATGTAACAATCACCACACAACACTGGTGCTGTCACACTTGTAACAATCACCACCACACAACACTGGTGCTGTCACACTTGTAACAATCACCACCACACAACACTGGTGCTGTCACACTTGTAACAATCACCACACAACACTGGTGCTGTCACACTTGTAACAATCACCACCACACAACACTGGTGCTGTTCACACTTGTAACAATCACACCACACAACACTGGTGCTGTCACACTTGTAACAATCACCACCACACAACACTGGTGCTGTCACTTGTAACAATCACCACCACCCAACACTGGTGCTGTCTCACTTGTAACAATCACCACCACCCAACACTGGTGCTGTCACACTTGTAACAATCACCACCACACAACACTGGTGCTGTCACACTTGTAACAATCACCACCACCCAACACTGGTGCTGTCACACTTGTAACAATCACCACCACACAACACTGGTGCTGTCACACTTGTAACAATCACCACCACACAACACTGGTGCTGTCATTTGCAACAATCACCACCACACAACACTGGTGCTGTCACACTTGTAACAATCACCGCCACACAACACTGGTGTTGTCACACTTGTAACAATCGCCACCACACAACACTGGTGTTGTCACACTTGTAACAATCACCACCACACAACACTGGTGTTGTCACATTTGTAACAATCACCACCACACAACACTGGTGCTGTCACACTTGTAACAATCACCACCACACAACACTGGTGCTGTCACACTTGTAACAATCACCACCACACAACACTGGTGCTGTCACACTTGTAACAATCACCACCACAAACACTTGGTGCTGTCACACTTGTAACAATCACCACCACACAACACTGGTGCTGTCACATTTGTAACAATCACCACCACACAACACTGGTGCTGTCACATTTGTAACAATCACCACCACACAACACTGGTGCTGTCACACTTGTAACAATCACCACCACACAACACTGGTGTGTCACATTGTAACAATCACCACCACACAACACTGGTGCTGTCACATTGTAACAATCACCACCACACAACACTGGTGCTGTCACATCTTGTAACAATCACCACCACACAACACTGGTGCTGTCACACTTGTAACAATCACCACCACACAACACTGGTGCTGTCACACTTGTAACAATCACCACCACACAACATTGGTGCTGTCACACTTGTAACAATCACCACCACACAACACTGGTGCTGTCACATTGTAACAATCACCACCACACAACACTGGTGCTGTCACACTTGTCAACAATCACCACCACACAACACTGGTGCTGTCACATTGTAACAATCACCACCACCCAACACTGGTGCTGTCACACTTGTAACAATCACCACCACCAACACTGGTGCTGTCACACTTGTAACAATCACCACCACACAACACTGGTGCTGTCACACTTGTAACAATCACCACCACACAACACTGGTGCTGTCACATTTGTAACAATCACCACCACACAACACTGGTGCTGTCACACTTGTAACAATCACCCACCACACAACACTGGTGCTGTCACATTGTCAACAATCACCACCACACAACACTGGTGCTGTCACACTTGTAACAATCACCACCACACAACACTGGTGCTGTCACACTTGTAACAATCACCACCACCCAACACTGGTGCTGTCACACTTGTAACAATCACCACCACACAACACTGGTGCTGTCACACTTGTAACAATCACCACCACACAACACTGGTGCTGTCACACTTGTAACAATCACCCACCACACAACACTGGTGCTGTCACACTTGTAACAATCCACCACCACAGTGCTGTACCTTTGTCAATAAACTCAGTGTTTGTCATTAACAAGTGGCTGTAGACAAAAGGGGAATGTAACAGAGGAAGGGGCAAACACGGCATGAATGTAAGATCGCACCAAGAAGGTGTGCAATGTAGAGGAAGTCAGCAACATAGGGCTGTGAACGTTGAACATTCACACATAAACGTTCCAGCAAACACCACAACTGTGTCTTGTTATTGTAACATGTCCAGCCCCTATACTGTGCCTCGTCCCTTACATCCCACCCCAAATGTGCTGGTCCATTTACAATAACACACTGGACTTCGCCTGCACACCTTCTTTACAACCACCACTTAAATTTTCGTCACATTTACATTCAACATCTTCTACACTGAGTGTTCCACTTGTACAAGTTGCTTCGCAGTGCAAACTCACTGTGCATGTTTCTTGTAAATAGACAGCTTGATGGAGTGCTGGAATGGTGTACATGGCACCCGCAACACTGGTGTGGGCTGGTCTCACACGTCCTACTGGTGTTGTAATGTGTACCAATCGAGAGCACCACTGGTGTAGTCACCTTCCTTCACCGACCGTAGTCCCACACTGCTCTGCATTGCTGGCCCCACACATGGTCTGCTCCTTCTCTCACCCCACCCAACAACATGTCCCTCCACAACAACCACCACCCACACAACACTCACCGATCTGTACCCATCCTTTACAATCACCACCACCCACCCTTTTCTTCCACTCTTTCTCCTCTCTCTCAATCAAAAAAATACAACACGAAACAATAACCATACACAAAACACAGAAGTAACACACACACGACAAGAGCTATGAATCGACCATGCAACCGCAATAGTGTGTTAGTACATCCACCACCCAAACACCCACATTCTAGCCCACACCAATGCTTCACACCTAATTGACCATCCATAAATTTTCTACTTATTCCACTAACATTTCGTTTCTTAGCCTGAGTGTCAACTTGTCAAGTGTTGCTTCGCAGTGCTCACTATGCATTTTTTCCTTGAGTAAGAGGGAGGGTTGAGGAGTGCTGGAATGGTGTGAGGCCGCACCGGGTGTGGGCGGTTCTAGCGACGTCGCTACGTGTGTGTTGTATGTGTACCAACGAGAAGCACCGCGCGGTGTAGCACCTCCTTCCACGACCTGTAGTCCCACACTGCTCTGCTGCTGGCCCCAACTGTTGCCTCCTCCTCCTCCACCGCCCACCCCAACACTCCCTCCCACACACCACCACCCACACAACACTCACCATCTACCCATCCCTTCCCCTCCAACCACTCACCCCACCCTCTTTCTCTCCCACTCTCTTTCTCCCTCTCTCTCACATCCAAAAAAATACACACACGCACACAATACACATACACAAACACACAAAGTACACACACACACGAGGCCAAGAGCTATGAATCGACCCATGCAACCGCATATAGGTGAGTAAACACACACACAAACACACACCTCTAGCCCCACCAATGCTTCACCAATGAGCGATCCATAAATTTACTGTCCCACCTCTTCAGCCTCTACCTAGTGCACCTTGTCAACTGGATGCCACAACCTGCTATTCACTGCATCACTTCTTCACTGTTCTTCACCACCAACTATCCCCTCTCTATGTGCCCCTCCACACACCTGATTCATCATTCCTACCTATCCTCACTTTACTTCTTGTCTCGTTCTAGATTATCCTCATAAATTTCACTTCCCCGTGTGTGCGGGATAGACCATCCTGACCTATGATAAAACCCACGAAATGGTACCTTGGATGAGTTTCGAGAGTCTACTTCTGGAACCATGGGCCAGGCTTATCTAGTGCTAACCTGGTCAACCAGACTGTTGCTGCTGGAGGCCCGTTGCCCCACATACACATCACAGCCTGGTCAATATAATACTTCCAGCACAGCCGGAACAAAACCTTTGAAGCTGTGGTATCTAATGAACACCATCGTAGTAGAAAGCTTGACAATATCCTCACGTTTTCCTACTGAGGTTGAGAGATTTCATTACCTCGCACAAGCAATCCCTCCTGTGTGAAGGAAGGAATATGACTGGGAAACACGGCTAGCTTTTGTTCCCACTGTGTAACTATCATAAAAATTAGGGAAGCTACCCATTGTGGGTGTTCAAACAATGCAACAATTGTGTATAATAGCGTAGCCTCACACTGTGGGTCTATCAAAGTTTGTTTGATATTTTTTTTTTTTTTTTAGAGTTTGACCTGAGGTGCAAGTTTATTGGCCAGTGCGACTCATAGCGTGAGTGAATATTGTACCACCACACTGACATTACTGGTCAGTGTTACTCATACTGTGAGTGAATATATCACTACAATGATAGTATTGGTCAATACCACTCATACTATGAGTGAATATGCTACCACAATGACAATATTGGTCAGTGCCACTCAATACTGTAAGTGAATACACAATCGTAAAAGCACCAAATAGTGCAAATATTTGACACGCCATTAGTGATAACAATAAAAAAACACTAACGTGCCCGTGTGCTCCCCCCACCCACCCACACACGGTGAGGGAGGCTTCTGAAAGACAATTCAATTGCTTCTGAGAGGAAACAGTGGCAGTATATAACAAAGCCAGGGAGGAGGATGTAGAACAAATAAGGCTAACTCAGTAGAAATGAGAGCCCTAAAACTGGAAGTAAAGTTGCTGAAAGAGGCCATGAAGGAAATGAGAGAGAGGTCAGTAAGGGCAGAAACAGTGTAGGAAGGAGCCCAGAGGTTCGAAGAAACAAAGTCATTGACAATGATGCTCTTTGAAGATAGGGGGGGCTAAGATGATAAGAGAGATAGCAAGGGATATGGTTATTACAAATCTAATGGTTGTAGTTATAACCATAATTTTTATAGGGTTGGACGTAAGCCAGAAGAAGGTCTCTGTCAGATGACTAAAAGCTCCAGTGGCGAGTCATCATATGACTAAGACTCGCGTAGGAAACTTGTACTGTTTCATGACGAACCTTACCTAGGCAGACTGAAATGATCAATACACAGTACACAGGAAGGAAGTGATACAGCAGATGGTGAATTTTCAGAGGATCATACGGTTCTTCCACGGCCAACACTGCCCCATCAAATTAACCTTTTGCTTTCATATACCTTACCTCTGATGAGTTCTGAGAACCTTGGGTCAGGCTCGTTTGGTGCTTGCCTGGTCAACCAGAGTGTTGCTGCTGCTGGTCCACTGACCTACATATCTATCCCAGCCTGGTTGATCTGGCACCTGGTGAAGATAATTGTCTAGTTTCCTCTTGAAGACTTCTACACTTGTCCCAGCAGTGTTTCTGATATCTTCTGGTAAGATGTTGAATAGTCTGGGGCCAGGGATGTTGATGCAATATTCCCTTATGTGCCCACTGCACCCTTCCTTGTCATTGGGTTTATTTTTCACTTCCTCCCATATCTCTCTCTCCATTATGTTCTTATGGAAGTGTGCAGATTTGGGATAAGGCCCTCAAGTACTTTCCAGATATATATTATCCTGTATCTCTTCTATGCTCTAATGAGTACATATTTAAGACTTTAAAGTGTTCCCATTAATTTAAATGCTTTACTGGCGTGCATGCAAATATATATTTTATATATATATATATATATATATATATATATATATATAATATATATATATATATATATATATATAGGGAGGTACCACCTCTAGAACTGTCCTGCGGACCCTCATCCTCAGAGAAAAGAATAAACTTGCTTCAGGGAAAACTCAAGTTTCTCCCTGAAGCTGTTTGAGAATTTTCTCCTACTACCCCCTATATTTGATATATATTTTATTTAAAGGCAAAATACATTGACAAAACATTTTCAAAAATATAATAGAAAGTAAAACAACATAGATAACAACTCAGAGCTACATCTCGAAAACTTCGTCCAGCTCCCCTGCGGTGGGCCGCGTGCCCAGAATGCTGCAAGCATTTCATCTCTGGATCACGACACTGAGTCTCTGAAAGAGGAAGGTGGTCGCCCTGTGGTCCTTGGTTTCTATGATGAGCTTTTCACCCAGCTCTTTGAGGAACTTTAGAGCACACTTGCCCCATGCTCCAAGTGTCTCCGACCCTATTGGGATGAAGTTATAGCAAGGGGAAAAGTCTTCATATTTGCGGATCTTCTGGGTCTCCCTGTAGCTGGCAGCTCCACCCCTTTCAGCTACGGAGTATGGCAAGTAGGTGTCTGCCAATGTGGCGGCACAGGTGTAGTCCCAGACAATCTGCTTTCCATCCTTCCAGGGTAGCATAGTGGCTCCATCAGGGCGCTTTTGACTTCCGTCAGACTTCTGCACTTGGGGTTCCCGTTGAGATGGGCAATGGGCTGTGGCGAGGCATCTCTTTATGATATCATTGACCTCCTCATATCTGGCATACTTCCCTTCTGCTGAGTGACATACGAGAACATGAAGTCCGAATTAATCAGCCGTCGCCCTGCCACAAATACACCTATGTTCGGTGAGGATGGGGGCGGCTAGGCGAAGAGCAACACCTGAATGGCCTGTGGGTCGAGTCGCGTGCCCAGGGAGGAATTGGGAACAGAAGGAAATCTCCTGAGTGTGGTGCCTTCACAGCCAGAAGACGAGCTTTGTGTGTTGTGTGGTGTGTGTGTGTGTGTGTGTGGGGTGTGTGGTGTGTGTGTGTGGTGTGTGGTGTGTCTGTCTGTCTGTCTGTCTGTGTGTGTGTCTGTGTGTCAGAAAGATAAGAATCGTTATAGTGTTAAATGTTTACAAGAACAAAATATAAGAGAAAGAGGAAGGAAGAGTGGTGATACTTGTGAAGGGTGGTGATACTTGTGAAGGGTGGTGATACTTGTAAAGGGTTCTGATACTTGTGAAGGGTGGTGATACTTGTAAAGGGTTCTGATACTTGTGAAGGGTGGTGATACTTGTGAAGGGTGGTGATACTTGTGAAGGGTGGTGATACTTGTGAAGGGTGGTGATACTTGTAAGGGTGGTGATACTTGTGAAGGGTGGTGATACTTGTGAAGGGTGGTGATACTTGTGAAGGGTGGTGATACTTGTGAAGGGTGGTGATACTTGTGAAGGGTGGTGATACTTTTAAAGGATTCTGATACTTGTGAAGGGTGGTGATACTTGTAAAGGGTTCTGATACTTGTGAAGGGTGGTGATACTTGTGAAGGGTGGTGATACTTGTAAAGGGTTCTGATACTTGTGAAGGGTGGTGATACTTGTGAAGGGTGGGGATACTTGTGAAGGGTGGTGAATACTGTGAAGGGTGGTGATACTTGTGAAGGGTGTGATAAATTGTGAAGTGTGGTGATACTTGTGAAGGGTGGTGATACTTGTGAAGGTGGTGATACTTGTGAAGGGTGGTGATACTTGTGAAGGGTGGTGATACTTGTGAAGTGTGGTGATACTTGTGAAGGGTGGTGATACTTGTGAAGTGTGGTGATACTTGTGAAGGGTGGTGATACTTGTGAAGGGTGCTGATACTTGTGAAGGGTGGTGGTTCTTGTGAAGGGTGGTGGTTCTTGTGAAGGGTGGGGATACTTGTGAAGGGTGTGATACTTGTGAAGGGTGGTGATACTTGTAAAGGGTTCTGATACTTGTGAAGGGTGGTGATACTTGTGAAGGGTGGTGATACTTTTAAAGGATTCTGATACTTGTGAAGGGTGGTGATACTTGTAAAGGGTTCTGATACTTGTGAAGGGTGGTGATACTTGTGAAGGGTGGTGATACTTGTAAAGGGTTCTGATACTTGTGAAGGGTGGTGATACTTGTGAAGTGGTGATACTTGTGAAGGGTGGTGATACTTGTTAAGTGAGGTGATACTTGTGCAAGGGTGGTGATACTTGTGAACGGGTGGTGATATTGTGAAGTGTGGTGATAACTTGTGAAGGGTGCCGGTGATACTTTGAGGGTGGTATACTTTTGTGAAGGGTGGTGATGTTACTTGTAAGGGTTTGGTGATGTGTACTTGTGAAGCTGTGGTGATTACTTGGAAGGGTGGTGATAATTGTGAGGGATTGGTGATACTTTGTGACAGGGTCGGGCGCTCGAGCATAGGTGTGAAGGGTGGTTGATACTTTTGTGACAAGTCTGCTGCTGCTTCAGCCAAAAGTATTTGGCATTAATGCTGTTGACTGCCTCCATAACCCTAGCATTTAAAAACACTTATTC